ATACCCCCAAAAAAAGGAATTTGGAGTATCAGTTTAATTGCAAACATATAGAAAATAATGCTTATCACAGAGAAACCTAGTAAACTCTATTTGTCTAATATTGATAGTACCCATTCTGAAATCAAGAATTAACTAAAAACACATATTGGCAAAATTCTATGTCAGAAATCTGAGTACTTCTTAAGTAAGGCTTTACACTCTCTATATTACATCTTAACTTTTGTGTCAAATATTTTTTCACATTATTCTTTCTCCCCTGGCAAGCAATTTTTTAAATTGTTCATTGATAATAAAACAACATCATGTCACCAACATACTTTATAAGATATCATCAAAATTCAGGAAATATGACAACATATATTTGTTTTTCTAGAAAAAAAATTATGAAATTAAGGAAATATGAAACTTTTTGTTAAATCACAAATTTCCTAATGTTTTCAAGTTTTCTACTGCAATTTCAAAAGTAATTAGTAAAAGTCACACTTCTGTTTTATATCAACAAACATCATCAAATTATTAAATGTTTACTAAATTCCCACATATACAGAGCTTTGTGCTTAGGTGCTGGAGAGAACACAAAGTCTAATTGTATGTTTTATAACAGATATCATGAAAATTGAAATTTTGCTTCTATCTAAAATAATGAAAACAACTAAAAACGAGAAAAAAATCACAAGGTAATGTATATGATGTTTGAGTCATCCATCTGGTTCAGTAAAAGTTGTCCAGATGATTTAAATACAGAAAGGAGCACCATAAAAATCACCATTCTTTCCCTTACCATCTCTACCTTACCCCAAACCTGGTGAACCTAGCTCATTCACAGAGTTTAAATTGATGTAAACGCTTTGCTGCTAAAGATTCGTTCTGGTCACTTTCATTAAAATGTTGAATTTCTTCTCCATGCTTTACTTATACCCTATCTGCTGTTAAGTAATACAATATGGGAAGGACTTTGAAATAAATTATATCTCCAGACACACAACGTTGGATGTATCAATGAAAATCCTATGACGTATTACTATACATCATGAAATTTCTATCATGACCTGCTTAACCAAGTTTTTTTTATACATACCAGGAGTTTCATTCAAAGCATTTTACATATTAAATTACTTATCAAAACACAGCATATGTAGACCTTGACATTTGTTAAAGAACCAGGGATTTAACCAAAAAAAGACCAGAACAAATCTTTAGCAGAAAACAGATTAAACAGCAAAGAAGTGGCTGCTTGAAAATGAGAGCATTTTAACTAAACTTCAAGACATGCTTTCAGCACATATTTAAAAGATTGGTTGGTTGTTCTGTAAGATCACCTGAAAATATGCTTCAGAAGATTGTTGGAGATTCATGTGGCCTGACAATAGTCTTTGAGAGAATGGAGAAAAGGACTTTAGCAATTTTGTTCCAAGAGGCTATCAGCAGAGATATCTTTCATATCAAATTGTTTTCTTGGTTGAGTCCCTTACTATTTTATTCTTGGATGGAGAAATAATGTTAGAATGATTATACATGACTGTGTTAAATTGCTCCTTTATACATTTTTTCCAATTTTAGACATAATCATTGAACATAGTAATGACTTCACACACTTCTGTTGTTTTTACACCACAATTTATTTTTCTATGTATCTATTAATTTGAAGTATTTCTATAATCTCAAAAATATGTCACCAAACACAATGCAAGAAGATGCTTTATTGATGACTGGTCAAATTGTTTATCTACAAATAGAAAACAGTAACGAAATGGGCTTTTTTAATCACACATAAAAAAATACTCTTTCAAAAATAGCGTATTTGTTCAATCTCATCTTAAATGTCATGTTGGACTGCTAATTTTCCTTAAACATTTCCATTCCAGTAAAAATGTATTTAGAGACTGTTATGAATGAGCCAGCCTGTAATATCACATAATAGTTGTTTTTAGGTATAATTATTGATATTAGCAGAAGGAGTTACAACTTGCTCTGAAAAGATTACAGATTATCACTTAAATATAGGGTCACGTTGTGTGGAAGGACACAGTGACTTGAGGATTCAGTTGAAAGACAAAATATGACAAAGAAAGCCCATCCACATTAGGAAAATTTTTTAATAGAATTTGTTACAAATGGAAATTCTTTGGTAAACATCAAGAGTATAAAGCTGGGGGAAGGGATTTGACTAACTATAAAATGTTTCCCAACAAAATGAAGTTAATTTACCATAAAATCATTATTTCCAAACATACATATTTTAAATGTTCTAAATATACACCAAATACTACAATGTTTTGGGTTTTTTTTTCACTTTCAGAAAGGTTTATTAATCAATGAAGGCATTAATAATTTTCTGTGCCCTTAAAGCATGGTGACATGTTAGACCCAGCATATATAAGCTTCAAGTATTCACTCCCATTTTGTAGAATAGAGGTAGATATTTCAAAATGCTAGCTATTGTTGACATGACTTAGAATATGCAATGTAATTACAAAAAAACCCGTACATTGCTTAATTAAAGAAAAAACCTGATCATTACACTAATAGACAAATTCACCATTCTCTCTCCTTTGTAAGGTAAAAAATAAATGCCAAAATGTTGGATGTTTCTGAGCGACGATTTATTCTTTTATTAACTTTTTCATTTATTAACTTAAAACATCTTTTTTCTGGATACTAAATAATATCCAGTGGATTTTTTATGAAACAACCCTTTCCATCTATACCTTTTCTCAAAAACAAAACATACCCCAAATTGTGGGTATGGGTATAAGTATATGTTTATTCACGGCATAGTTTATTGACTAAATGTTTTTGTTCTTACTTGAGACAAATTTTCAAAATTAACAAATAGTAAAAAGTGTGTGTCAATCTATTAATGAAAAATTATATATTGAATCATAAAATAGAATAGGGCTGCCTAATAAACTGGTTAGTGAGACTACTTATTGCTGGAATTACTCAAGTACTGGCTGAATGACCACTTGTCCTGGATGGCAGAGGTGTGTTGGATAAGGGTTAGGCTAGATATCTCTAAGATCCCTTTGGATTCTTAACATCTATGACTCAATGCAGGATGCCAGTTTTATGCTTAGAGTAAGATGAATCCTTTTGGAAATTCTCTTAACTCTTTTTGACCATTTGTTTGTTACCTAGAAAATAATGGCATTAATAGTACTCTGATTGACACTGCAGTTGCTTGAAGTGGTTAATAGTTTCTAAAACTGCCTAACTTATTTTCAAGAAGCAAATTTACAGTAGGTAAGTCTGACTTACCCTCTAAAAGCCAAATTCATTCACCATCTCAGTTTAATTGTTAGTCTCTCTGCTGGGATTTCTGACATGAATGCCAGTTGTGAAGTCATCAAGATCTATTTCTAACAGACTGAGTCACCTTAATCATTTAACCTCTCTGTGCATCACTCACTCTTTTTCTCTAAAATAACAGATTTTATTATGCCTTCCTTTCAGGAATGTGGAGGTGATAAGTAAGGCAGTATGCCTGAGCCTATGGCCCAAAAGTAGAATCTGTTCACCTTTGAGGAGTTCATATGCTCTTTTCAAGAGTCATAGAGTAAATAAATTCACTGAATGACCAGGACCTCAGAGGTCATCCAATTCAACTCCTTTCTTTACATATAAAGAAATTATGAATAAGAGTAATTAAATGACTTGTCCAAAGTTCCACATGGAATAAGTGTCAGAGCCAAGGTATAATACCAGATCTCAGACACTCCTGCTGTCCTCATAGCCTAGTCGGGTTGAAACTTGAACAAGTTCCTCAGGATCCTTTAAGAACATTGCAGTAAGAAAAGATTTGTGCCTAACTTGAATTTAGAGAATGATTCCTCCTAAGTGTCTAAAGTTTGTGAGTCCTTTATTTAGCCACTTGCTTATTAAAATATGCCTAAATTTCTAAGTTGATAATTAAATATTAATACCCAGAACAAGATAAATTTCTTTTTTCCCTCATAAAACCATTACTCTGGAAAGGATTATAGAAAACCAACTAATCTCACCCATTGCCATTATGAGGATATATATGTGTGTGTGTGTGTGTGTGTATGTATATATGTATATGTACATATATACACACATGTAATGCATATACATGATATATACATATACATGATGATTATTTATCCTGTCATCAATTATAGTCAACTGCCTCTTGCTAACTTAATGCGATGTTCAACAACACATTGTCAGGAAGGGCTTTATTGTGTCTGATACATCCACATTTGTACAAGTTAATATCAAATATATCACGACCTGCTTCCGTGCTCCTTAGACAACATCTTCAAGGCTACCTCTCTTTCTTTACTCTGTCTCCAAAATCAGACTCAGAAAATAGAATAAATCCTCTGCTTACCAGCCTGGGGTGTACCTGACATTTGGTGTTCTGCCAACAATCAAATTCTCCTGCAGCAGCTTTTGCTTGTTTTTACTTGTTTTATCTCCTAGGATGATGAAAAACCAGTTATTAAAATATTTTTAAAAGTTCCTAATATATTAGCTTTCCGTCTTCTCTTGCAGAGTAAAGAGGATATGACCTCTTTCAACTCTGATCTCATAAATCTTATTTTCCATCTCTAGTAATTGTTGTTGCTATTTGCAATATTTTCTCCAATTTACTCAAATCCATACTTTAAAAAAAATGATAATGTAATTCAGAAAAAATGAGAGTGTTTGCTTATTTCATAAACATCCAATCATTAGGGTGTTTTTATTTATAAAAATAAGCATAGAAGCTAAGAAACACTTATTTTTAATGATTACATTTTCAAGTAACTATATTTTTTTTCAGCTAAAATAGGCATAAAAAATTCTACCTAATCTTCAGTAAATAATTTTACTCCCCAACAACCAAAATATGTTTCTAATAAATGAAAAATGTCAGTGACCCCCAAGTACATACTGTTGACTTAATCATGTTTATTATTATTTTTTCAAACCAATTTTACTTGGATCATATTAAATGAAGGTTTATACTTAATGCTATTATTTTTGCCTTTCAGTTAAGGTAATAGCTGTTCCAGGGATAAAAAGTGCTAAGAAAAAATGGATATCACATCGAGGCTATCCAGTGCAATTCAGCGATGGATGGGAAAGTGGGAAAAGGAAGGCGAAAACTTTCGACTAATCTTTCAAACTTCAACATGCGAAACATATGGCGAGCTGTTTCTTTTCAAGAGGTCTGTGAATATCTAGTTGTATGTTACCAATTGGATACAAAGTTTTAGAGTACTGCATTTAATTTGTTTTACTATACATGTTTTGCAATTTAGCTTTCTGGTGGAGTTATCTTACTCCCCATCAGTAAAATACAAGTTTTGCAAAGGTTCCTGGGCTCATGTGGTATGGTCTCCAGAAAACTTTAACCCTTGATATAATTGCAAAGGGGAGTTTGTAAAACCGATTTCTTTAGTTTTAAACATTTTGTGATTTCATAAGTTCAAGACAAAATTTTTATTGGCAAGAATGATAAATCTATTAAAAACAATTACATGTATTTTCATTGATACTACTAACTCTATTGTGTATAAGGAATTTGTATTCTGTCTTAACAAGTTTTCAGTCTTATAATTGACATTATTGAACTAGATGAGAGAATTGCCATATTTCCATAGGTAAATTGGTTCATGTTCATGATGTTCTTGTAAATGTTTTTCTAATCGTTAAATTTATCAAAATGCAGTTTACTTTAGAGGTGGTCTTTCAAATTAAAATGAACTTGATAAATTAAAACAAAGTGGATATTTTAATAGTACTCCTATTTGAACATGTGGAATATTTATTATTTTGAAATATGAAAGTACATGTGAATCTAATAAGTGATTACTATTCTGACTCAGAAGAGTCCCAGAAATTTATATTTTCATGAAGTTATCCCCCAAATAACCAGTTCTTTCAAGTCTTTCCAGACTCCAAGCATCATTTTGTTATGTTTCATATTTTCCCAAAATTATAGATGTCCAGTCTTTCTAATTGTCTAGCAAAGTTCAGTGACAACTTAGTAAATTAAATATGCAAAATCTTACAGTTACCCTTAATGGGCTTTCAATGCTATTGCTCCCTTGAGTCGAGAACTGTTTTCACAAAGCAACATTACTGAGTTTTCAGTGACTTTCCATCTAAATGTTAGTTGAATGATAGGATCCAGTCAATTTTCTCTTTAGTTTCTTCCTTTATGAAAGCTTTCAGATGGAGAAAAGAAATGTCTAAACTTGTCTAGAATGCATTTCTTTACTTTCTCACTCCTTTCCCTTTGGGTCCCCATCATCATTACCATCACTACCATTTTTTCTGGACTTTGTCCCCATTAAAACCTGGAGATCCCTTTAAACTGTGATTGAGGTAGAAAAGTCAATGAGCCTTGAGATGTCAGTCAATAAAGAAAACATAGACTCATATGTTGTGGCCTAGAAATTGAGTGTAGAAATATAAACTCCATATGCAATTGTTTTGTGCAACAGGCCATTTCATTATTGTCTTTTCACTAACAGTTTCCACATTAGCAATATAATATGATTGGAAATATTTTAATGAATATCAACTTATTTTGAAAATGGTAGGAGGAAACCACATTAAAGTTGGTATTAATGGATATTTTTATGGTTCATATACTAAAACCAATGAAGTAGAAAGTCTTAGTTTGTTCACTTAGATGCTTACTATTAAATTGTCTCAGTGCCTAAAATGGGCTCACAGGCACAGACTCTTATTCACCAACTGGTTTGTTTTATGAAATTAAATTATGAGAGAAATGACACTACTCCAGTTTTAAGGTAATGGGGATGATGATGATGATAATGATATTTCCTTTATTTTCCTAGTACCAAATAAGAATATGATGCTATGCTGAGTATTATTTTGAATCAAGAGTTGAATATTGATTTTTTCATTATTTTCCTTTTGTTTATGAAGATAGTAGTCTTTCAATATAATCTTAGGTTTTTAGAATTGAATGAATTTATTAAAGGGCTCAAATTAAATGATACTCTTCTTCCTGTTTGCTCAGATTGCTGTTAAGTCAAATAATAAATTTAAGTGAATTAAAAACCAAAGGAATCACAGCACCCAATGAGTGATGATTAATGAATAAGTGGCCATCTGGATAAGTCTTTGATTTTTTTTCTTTTCTGCTCAACATTTTTATCAGTGACTTCAATGACAAAGTAGGTAGCATGCTTATCAAATTTGTAGATGATAACTAACACATTGGATGACATAACTGAAATCCAGAATGATCTTGGCAAACCAGAACAGTTCATTAAATATAATAATATGAAACTTAACGGGAACAATTATTAAGTCTTAGACTTGACTTAAAAATTAACATAGATACTAGATAGGGAATATTTGGCTAGACCTTTGTTCATGTGAAAAAAGATCTGGAGTTTTTAATGAATTGTAAATATAATACGAATCAACAGTAGAAGCGGAAGCCAGAAAAGCTCACGGGCTCTTATGCTGAATTAATAGAAATGTTGTATCCAGAGTCAAGGTGCTGGTCCTGCTGTTCACTGCCTCGGTCAAACCACAGCTATGGTATTTTTGTTCAGTTCTGTGCACACATATTAGAAAGAACATTGACAAGATGGAATCTGTCCCAAGAGGGTCAGTTGTTATGGAAAGGGACCTGGAACCTCTGCTATAAAAAAATCAAGTTAAAGGACTGGGTGTGATGAGCTTTGAGAAGAGAAAATTTAAGGGAATCTAAGAATCATAAAGTTTTAATTGCCATCATTTCATGAATGAGAAAACTTAAGGGCCAGGAGATTACATGACTTGCCCAAAATCACCCAAGTAGTAAGTGCTGTGAGATTTGAACCCAGGCCTTCTGACTACAAAGCCAGTGATCTTTCCACTATACCACACTGGATCATGAATAATAACTAGAAGGAGGCATTTGAATAATCATCATGGCAGAGGGATTAGGAATGTTTTACTTGGCCCCCAAAGACAGAACAAAGCAGGAGTTAGAAAGCAGTGGATTTCAGTTCACCTTAAGGAAAAACTTCCTCCTGACAATTTATCTCAAAGTAGAATGGGCAATGTCAGAAGGTGGTGAAGTCCTCAGAACTGACATTTTCAAGTGTCAGTTGAAAAATTGGGGAAATAGTAGTTATAGTATGTATCTAATTGGTTGATGGTGAGGATCAAATAGAATCATGTATGTAAAAGACTTTGTAGACTTTTAAGTATATACATAAATGTCGAGTGTTGTATCACTATCATTAGTATGGCTTCTCAAGGCTAGTGGAGAGGAGATTCCTAGTCAGAGAGACTAGATGGTCCCTCTCAACCCTGCGATTTCATCATTTTATGAAGACAGGAGAAAACAGTGAGTATTTCTCTCTATGTATCCAGAAACCCAGCTTTCTACATGTGACTTTCCATGTGTGGGATGTGGTGAGTTAGTACTTATTTTCACATTCATGAAAAATCACACACCATGGAAGTAGCTGCTTCTGGGCACGGCAGCAAATTTAACTTGTGACAAGAGAAGTGTGATAGAAAATGATGTAAGTGTTGGCTGAGAGTGCTCAGAGATCCTAGCAATCCCAAGACATCTTCAGGGAGTGGACATTGGCCACATAGATTTTCCTTACTCAAAAATCAGTCCTAGATGGAAAGCATGCCAAATAATTAATCATCAAACTCCCCATTCCCCGAAAGAGCTAAAATTCTAGTTTGAAAGACAGAACCATATGGAAAGAACCCAAGAAAATAGGAATGATAGTACACGTCCAAACTGTGAAAGTTCCAATATATGACAGTGATTCAGAGAGAAAACAAACCAGAGTACAGAAAGCCTGGAAACGTTTACCAGCCATGTATACACATAAAAAGTCAAAAATTAATCGGGTAGCAGAAAATCTTGTCCCTGGGCTTTGTTTAGTTCCTCTTCTTTTCCTCTCTCCAATTAATTTAAATGATGAGAAGAAGAGTTTTGGAACTGAGGAACCTAAACCCAGCATCCCCCAGTTCATTGGGAGTGCAACCTCTACAACTGGTGCTAGATAAATAGGTAAATGAACAAATAAATAAAGCAATTTTGCTGACTGACAGCTAACAAAGTACAGTTTAGTAACTGGGAATTAAATGGGGAACCATAAGGAATTTCTAATCCTAAGTCAGACTAAACCCTCTAAGAGAGTACCTGCTCTTGGTAATCAGTACTACTACTACTATGTGTCTGACACTGTGCTGTTTAATTACATTTGGATTTAAAGCATAGTAGGTTTAAGAAAAATAGAATTAAATCCAAAGGCACTACTTAACTTGAGTGGCTCTGACTCGTTTCTAAAGAGTTTGACCAGAGGCAAAAAAAAAAAAAAATCTCCTGAAGAGGAGATATCCACTTCAGCTGAGGCTCAAAGAAATTATAAAAAAGAAAAAACCCTCATATGGAAGGAAAAATCACTGGAGGGTTTTTACCTAGTTCCATAGGTTAGGTTTTTTTTTTTTTTACTTTTTAGAGTTGTAGCACACAAGTCTCTGGGCTTGAAAAGAATCATTTCAAAGCCAATTCATATTCTTAAGAGAAAGATGCAGCACTTCTGCTAGAGGACTCCAGCTGAATCCCAAAGCTAGTATCTGAGAACAGCTTCAAAACCTCATACCTAGTTCATCTCCTAGCAGCAACCACATGAGGCCATAACAACAATGCTGAGCATTGGCTACAAGAAACTAATGGGAACAATCCCCAGAAGAGACAATAGACCAGGTGAGACCAGTGACAAACAGATCCAACAGGAAAGTGCAGAGATACCACCCAAAGACATCAACAGAACTGCAACATCAGAGATGAATCAGTCCCTCACAAGTGTTCCCTATATGTGTTTTCCTCCATGTGCATAGCCTAGACATGACCCCTCTTCCTATTGTGTGTACATGTATTTATGGGAGAAATCATGCTGCACACCCATGAGACCGTTTTACTTTTACTTTTCTTACCATGCTGTTTCATTGTTGTTATTTTTTTTCCCTTGTTCCCTCTGTCTAAAAGAAAAAAAAAGGAGGGGCTCCTGAACTGTGCAGTCTTTCAGACATGAGGGCCTATATAGTGCCTTCAATCTAGAGTTTCAAGTTTCAGAGGAATCCATGTGTAAGTTGAGGGGAGGATATCCCTAGGCAGTATATGAAGTATTCTAGAGATTAAGAGCCATGCTTTGAAAAAAATAAAGGACATGGATTGGCTGAGATAAGTTTTGAGGAAAAAACATACAGTAAGGAAAAATAAAATCGTATGTGGAGGAAGTTACCTGTATTTGAACAAAGAGCTCATGCAGTAGGAGGTAGCTAATATGTTTGAACTGATGAGCAACTTTATGATTATATCTATAGTAACTGGGCAATCTGTTATTTATATAGTTGTACTAAATAATAAGTGAGCTACCTGGTGGACACTTTGAGTTTAAGAATGTTAGCCCTTTAAAAATTCTATAAAAGGAAACTTCCAAGCCTTTTCTTATTAGCTGTCTTTATAAAATATAATTCCTCCCTAGGAAGTGTAATAGAATAGAAGTTTTCTACTCTACTATTCTGCCTCTGGGCTAAGAAGATGCTGGTTATGCCAGTGATGACTGATTTCCAGGAAAAGGGCAACTTTCTCAACCAGCAAAGAACTTAACAACCCAACTTGACAACCCAACTCTACAATCCAACTCCAACAGGAGTTGGTTACAGAAAAAGATTAGCAGGAAGGTGATAGAGAGCTGCAGGAGAAGGGTAAAAAAGAAACCCAAAAAAGGAAAAGTAGGAATTTTTCAATGGAACATTTATTCTATAAGCCTAAGCAATAGATTGTGATAAGAAGAGATCATCATCATTTAAAAATATATTGTTAGCCTTTGTTTAGATATCATCTGCTTTCGAAGTCTATATGGTGTTGTGATCATAGACAAGATAGTAAAATAGATCAGAAATCCTTTATAATCCTAGTAATGAAAAGCAGGATTAAACTCTAATTTATAGTCCAGCTGTTCTATCCTGTTTCTCCTGTGTATAGATGTTACATTGTAAGGGCTATGATTTGACTTGTGATATATCTAAATCCATGTGATAACCAGTCATGTTACAGTTGGGTCCTACTATACTTTAAACCCAAATCTAATTGTACAGCACAATGCCAGACACATGGGAGCTTGACAAATGCTGACTGAATGACTGGATGTGTAAAACTTCAGAATTTAAGAAAATCTTGAGTTTAAACTTGAATAAAATATATTATTCCTTTTTTAACTATCATTTTGTGCTATTTGGACATAGTGGTAATTATTCTCGTCACAGAGAGTGGTTGCTTCTATAGAAAAGAAGCCCAAAATAATATTTATATAGAAGAAAATCTAATGTCACCTGTACTTATTGATTGATAAGAGAAATTTCAGCTGAAATATTTCCAGAAATGGCAAATGTAGAAGAAAATGGATTGGAAAATAGTAGATTTTTAGTGTTTGGTTATCTTTAGATGTATAGTCCTTGGGGAATATCCTGAGTACATGTGCTCTAAATAAAAAAATGCAAAATTTACTGCCTTGGACTATGAAATAGATTTGGGATATTCTCTGAAAGTCATTGTGTCTGTGCATCAACAAAGGATTACAAGGAGATATAGATATGGTGGGCCTGTTTCTCATCTTTGTCTGTATCAAGCAGAATTGATCTAAGCATGGAACTGCCATTAACTTCAAAAGGATGCACATATTTGGAACAGCTCAGTGTTGTGCAAAGCAATGACTAGGCACAGGGCTTTTACTCTCATGGCTAGGTATTTTTGTGTCTGTATCATTCCTGGGAATCACCTTATTTTCTAAGCCCAAAGTTCTGAAATTGAGCCAAGATAAGAAATTTTTCTGAGCCAATAACTTCTTGTTCAGTTTTGCAGAACTTTTTTTGGATGATATTTGCAAAAAACCAGACAGGAATTCTAACATTTTTAAAAGTCTTTAGGCTGTAGCTTCCTTAAACACAGTCCAAGTAATGGAAAAATCATTGAACTCCCAACTCAAAATCCTACTTGA